TTCTGTTGTTTGCATTTCAAATCAAGGTCCTGGGCTCTTGGCTAGACTTCTGCTGCAACCAGTATGAGAAGTTACCATTGGTAACCAAAACTGTTCTGGAGCTACAGATGAGAGTTACTGTCCCTCTTGAGCAAGTGGACAGTGAGAGCTCCTGGGTCTCACAATTTAAGAAGTGAACCCTAAAACCCAAACAAATAATGTCTAGAATGAGGAAGGACAACACAGGGCCATTACAACAGCTGGAATATAAACACTGAGTGATAAAGAGAAGGAGACATGTCCAGGCTGTTGTATGAATTTTGGAAGGATCCCCTGGCCCTAAAGTTTTAGACCAGACTTCCTAATTGCCCATGATTTCTTACTAAAATGCATGGATAAAGGGGACATATTTATGTGGTGTATTATATCACTATGAGCCCTTTACCATTAACTTTCAAAACATTGTCCTCAGTCCTCAGAGCACTTAGATTTTCAGAGGTAGATGCAGGGTGGCTCTGTGTTGTGATTTTCCCCATAGGAAGAAGCAGTTGCTCTAGCACTGTGCATGGTCCACTGAGCAAATATTCATGATCAAATAAAGCTGAACCCTTTGAGTTTCTACCAGTTTTCTACAAATGTCCACAGTGCCATCTGAAGGCCTTTTGCTCTAAAATGATAAGGTCTCATTTGATAAATAACTGTTCATCATTTGTTTAATGTTCTGGCCATATTTCTAAGACTATAACATTCATTACATGAATTTTCTTTGAGCATTTCTATTTATATCTATTTATCTGTTTTTGTTCTTTGTGTTTTGAAAGCATTCTCAGTTGTGTGCAATTCAATTTTAGTGTCACATGTTCTTAACCTTATCTAAATTTTTATCATTAACATACTTGTATTTATTTTGTATAATGCTTATTTTATTTTAATTATAAGATAATAGTGGGATTTATGGTCCACATAATTTTACACATAGGAAACACAAATCATCAACTTAATTCCCCAGTATTCTCCCTTTCCCTCCATATACCATCCCCTGTGTCTTTACTCTACTGGTATCATTTCTGTTTTTCTTTACTTTCTGCATTAAAATTTTTAATAAAATTGGGATTCACTGTGATATATTTCTACATGCACATAGCATCACTGGTTTGATGTCCTTCCACAGGACCTGCCATCCCCTTGATTTCTTCCTTCATGAATCTTTTTTACTCAATATTTATCCCTTCAAGGACCCAGTTCTTTCTTTTATAAGTGGAACATAACAAGAGAAAAAGAAATAAAGATGGGACCTCAATCATGAGTGTTTTGAAAGAGTTAAAGAAGTGTTTTCTTGACTAACTTCCTGATAAGGTTGTTGAGTTTGAGCTTCTCATTGGATGTAGAGAGAACTTAAGTAAAAAATGATTTTAGTAATTTTTTTCTACAGGGGTATAAAAAAAGAAAGAGGAAATGCTCCAAGTTAGAGGATTAATTTTTTTTTGTTACATTTTCATTTTTTTAACTACTTCAGTGAAGATAAAGTCAGTCATGCAGATGGTCAAAATGACCACACTACTCAAAAAAAAAAAAAAAAAAAAAAAAGCTCAGATGGGCATTACTGGTTGTTTTGTTTTTGGTTTGTCTGTTTGTTGGTTGGTATCAGGGATTGAACTTAAAGGGGATTAATCCCTGAGCCATATCCCAGCCCCAACCGTTTTATTGTTGTTGTTGTTGTTGTTGTTATTGTTGTTTTGTTTTTGTTTTTGCTAACTTTCTTAGGTTCTTGCTAAGTTGTAGAGACTGGCTTTGAACTTGTTGTCCTCCTGCCTCAGCCTCCCAAGCTGCTGGAATTACAGGTGTGCACCACCAGACCCAGATTTTAGGGTTTTCCTGTTTGACAATAATGTTTGCATGATAGCACATATTGTTTCTAGGAAGATTATCAATGTCATTGATTCTACCAGAAGAGAACAAATAGCCTATTAGAAGAAGATTAAAACTCCTTCCTCTTCAATTTCTGAAGACCTGTTTTGTGGCCTAATGTATAACCTACCCTGCCAATGAATCCATGTTTAATTGAGAATAATGTTCCTAAGCTCCAGTGACTAATTTGGGTGAGAGTCTGAGAAGAGCCTCATATTAGTTAGGACACTGTTTCCCACACTTCTGATTAGTACAAGCAGTCTATTAGTTGTCTACTTGCATCTCCCTGTCCTAAAATCAATCTTGCTAATCTACCTGCTGTGGAGCAAATGGAGCTTTATACTGAATCAGACACACACTGAAAACACATTATGCATTATCATTGAGATACACAGACTTAGCAATTTTACTTTGTTATTAGACCAGATAGTTCTGTCATTCTGGATGAACCCAATTGCAAGTCTCTGATGTGAAATAACATGGCAAAATTCTTCCTCACAAAATTTTTCTACTGCATGTGATGAATGGTGATTGACCATGTGTCCCTTTTATTCTTTTACTAATTCAACATGGGATTACTCAGGATAATTCTTGTCAATCTGCAGAAGGAATCATGCAGGGAAGAGGAAGGGCAATAGCTCTTCAACTTATCATGCTATTGTCCAGATATAGCACAGGACTGCTCTGACTCTACTTAATTGGGAAAAACAGTCCTCAGCCAAGGCACTCTTCTTAGAGGTAGAGAATTATATCTGGCACTCAAAAGGACCTGGAATTGTGGAAACCATGCAGCACTTGTACATATGTATGATGCAGACTCTCATGTCCAACTAATTCCTGGACACCTTTTAAGTTGCTCACAAAAGCAAACCTTCAGTATTCCAAGTTGAGTATTAGGACAAAGAGCTTCTCTGTGACATTTTTGTTGTTGTTGTTGTTTTTTAATTGTTTTGTTTTGGGAACAGGTTTTCCCTCAGTTGTTGAATCTTGTCTTCCACTTATTATTACCACTGGATCAGCCACTGGGGTATCTGGGATTATATGCATGCACCACCACAGATGGCAAAACAAAGTCTTCACTGACCAGAAATCTAACTTGGGTCATGGCATTGAGAGAGCTGAATCCTAACCACTAGATCACCCAGAGCATCTTACTTATACAAATAGACCTGCTGTTGTGTTCACACAAGGACATTCTGGTAGTTCTCATGGGTGGTAGTGAAGCTTTTCCTGGCTAATTGTACTCTCCAATGTTCACCCTCTGTCCAGGGGTGAAAATGCACTCATTTGACCTTTTTCTCCAGTTGTTTGTTGTACAGAGAAATCTCTGGATGCAACCTGTTCCCCTCTCACTCTGGCCACCTCATGGTAAGGTTAATAGCCCTCTTTCTTTTTTGATTGTTCAAACATCTGATTATTGTGCCCCCAAATCAGCAAGAGACAATTTGGACTCCCATGTAGGTCCCTTGAATTACCTTCCATAGTATTTAAAGTGAGAGAATGCACAACGACACAGCAAACAGGGTGGCCCTCAGTACTCCTGGGTTTTTTCAACTTTTTGTCTCTTAGCTACTACCACCCAAATAAACATTTTGTCCCTTAAGGAATCTAACTGGAAGTGTCTCAGGTTCAGATATTTCCATCTTTGCCATCCCCCTTAGATGTCCTAGCACATCTCCTTGGAAAATGAGGTGTTTCCCAGATTTTGTTTATAAACCAAAACAGGGAATCTCAGCTGAGATGAGAGTAAGAGGGAAACATGAAGGGCATTCATTTCTTATTTACCTCACTGAAATTCAGAAACCTGATTTGGACTCTCCACAGGAAGGATATGTACTAAAATTGTTTTGAATCTTTTCTCATGAATGTGCCACAGTTGTGGACACAGCTAAAAATACACACCTTCACCACCTGTCCCTGTCCTGAGCCTCCCTGATGTGTCATTTGTTGTTATCAGCATACGGCGATATCACAATTTTCTTAGGAGTATTCATGTCACCAGATGGGCTCCAGGAAATTTAGTGCAGTTACAGAGGTCTTTGCAGAGGTCGTGGTAATATAAGAGACACCCTCCAATCTTTCTGACCTAAGCACACAGGGCAGGAGCCTGATACTCCCAGTGCTCTTCTGCTTCAAAGTAACTCCCTAGGAGTCTTACATGTCAGCTCTCTTTCCTTTTATCTCAGACCCACCACAAGCCCTGACTTAGGAACAGTCACTCTTCCAAGTGAGGAGATGAAGGGCCTGGCTAGGCATATCCACATGCCCATTGATGAGATATTAAGCCCAATGAAGAGTGAACAGATATCAAAGGAAAAAGGTTTCTAATTCTACTACAACAATTTTTGAATTAAAGATCTTAGATCAGTATGTCTATAATACAATGAACACAATGAAGGCTGGATTATATTGCTCTCTATACTGATGGAGTTATAAAATAAAACTCTAACACAGAAGTGATCAGAGAAAAGTGTCCATCAACACAGAAATATTGAGGGACCACAAAGGCCATACAGAATCAAGGGAAATACAATACAATGTGAAATGGCCCCAAAAGGAATTTATAACTGAAATAAATCATTCAAGAATGAATATCATCTATGAGTTTCCAAATATAAAAGTTGTATTAAAGGAAACCTTACCAATATTAAAAGAAAGAAAGTCAGTGGTTGCCTGGATGGTTCTTTGAGCAGATATGGAGGGAGGATTCCAAAAGGGCAAAGGGGGCTTTGTGTGTAGTGGACAAATTCCTTGGCCTGAGTGTGTTGATATTCCCAAAGGTGTGAAAATATCACAAAATCTCTCAAAGTTTTCACTTATGTGCATGTTATTGTCTGTCAAATATTGCTTGTTAGAAAACACATAAAATTAGGCTAAAACATGAATCACAGATATTCAAAATGAGGGCTAAAGAGAATAAGACACAAGTTCTAGAATTCCTAGAAATAGGAAAAATGGAATGTGGAACCACAGGGTTCCCCATCAGAAGTCAAATCTGAGATGGCCAGGGTTGCACTGGCTACTTCATCATTTGAACTTCAGGGTAAAGAGACCACAGCATCCTGTTCAGCTCCTCAAGCTAAGGAGAATTTCTGTTTTTTGGAGACATTTTCCTAGGAACATCCTGCTGTGAGTGACTCTGAAAACACATAAAAAGAGGCTCCACACTCAAAGAAAGTGCCAGGATATTCATTTGGGCCTATGTTAGTGGTAGCAGAAAAAGCCAGAGGCCAGGCCCAAGCAAAGATGCTGGGCATTGGCCCTTCTGACATATGGTAAAGGGGTTTTTGTCTCACTTCCCCATGAACCTGGAGCACTGTGGGAGCATTGAGGCTACTGTCATAAGACTGACAGAAATAGTTGACCTCATCATCAGGCTGGAGCCCAGTGATGGTCAGTGAACCAGAGTTGCCAGACTTGGAGCCAGAGAGGCGATCAGGAATCCCTGAGGGTCGATCACTGTCATCATAGATGAGGAGTTTAGGGGCTGTTGCTGGGAACTGCTGATACCAGTTCACAAAACTGTAACCAATATTGTTGCTACTTCCAGTGCAGGAGATGGTGACCATCTCTCCTGGAGTCCCAGAAAGTGAGGGCTGCTGAGTCAGCACAGACTGGGCCCAGGTCACTGGAAGTGAGAGAAACACAGAGAGCATAATTTTTGTCTAGAGACAAGAGTAGAATCAGGGCCTATATCAGAGGACACCCACACCCTATTCCACCTCCATATCATGTCACCTGTGCACTGAACAAAGAATGTGAAGAGGAGACAGGACCAGGCCATGGTGAAGGTCATTTTGAGCTCTGCCTTCTGTTCCTGATGCTGAGCAGAGGTTCCCCCAAGTCTCTCCCTTGCTCTTTTCATACTCTGAGAAGGGGAGTGTCTATCCATGCAAATTAGGTTCCTCTATGATTTCTGATTGCATCCTGGCTCCTGGTTCAAACTCCTTTACATAAAAATGCCAAGTGGGTGTGCAGGGGTAGAGTTGGGTTGCTTCAGGTGGTGTGGGAGGTCACAGCTATGAGCCCTATCATGAGAGTATCAGGCAGGGCCAGGTGGCTTCTTACAGTTCCAGTTTCTTTCTAACCCCTCTTAACTGCTCTTTAGCACCCCCTGTTGTAAAAGCTCATAAATATCATCATGTGATATTATGATCAGACCCCCTGAGACAGTCCTACATCTCCTTTACATTCCCACTTCCTCTGTGTAGTGGCCAGGCCAGTGAGCTCCTTCTGTAGTCTCCTCCTTCCCTCAGGATGGCCTTCTTGCTTTCCTCAGACTCCACATTGTAAATTTATGCATACTTCACTTGATTACTCCCTAGACAAAAGTAAGATGGTATCTTTGATACAAATTCTTATTGGATCAAAAATTAAGCAAGTGAAAATACAGTCTCCTGTTTTATTAGCTTGCAGGGTGCCATCTATTTTACTATGCACAACACAAAAACTATGTCCCAAATGTCTTTTTGCCTAGTACTTGGTGAGGAACTCACTTGTAAAATCTTATGAATAGCCTTTTGATGTCATTAAGAAAATACTTGTATGCATGTTTTCAAGCTTTCTCAGTTCACATATTTGTGACCCTTATTGTCATCAAGTGATACTGAGAGTGGTGACTATAACTCCATCACAGCCATATAGCTTCAGCCACCACTGGCTACATGGGATGACATAAGGATTGTAGATCCTGAAAGAACTCAGACAGCAAAACTCTTGAATGTTTTCAGACATGGATGGAAATTCACTGTTTTAGGCAATGGCAGGGATTGAGGTGGTCTAAACATGAATATCAGCCAGCCTTTTGTTCAAAATTTGTTCAATAGGTTTCAGTATATTTCACAAGGGTTCCTGTGGTTGCAGCTGAGGAAGTAAATCATATTCTAAATTTTTAAAAATTTTTATCTTATTTTTTAATTGTTCTTAGTTATAAATGACAATAGACGGTATTTTGACATATTACCCATATGTGTATTATAACTTCCCATTCTTCTGGTTGTAAATGATATAGAATTACATTGGTCATGTATTTATATATGCACATATGTCTGAGTTAATCTATTATCTTTCATATTCCTATTATTCTCCCCTTCCCTTCATTACCCTCTGTCTTATCCATATTACTTGTATTCATCCTTAAGCCCTGCCCTTATATGACTTAGCAACCACTTTTCAGAGACAACATTCAGTCTTTGGTTTGGGGGATTGGCTTATTTCACTAAGCATGATATTCTCCAGTTCTATTCATTTACTGGCAAATACCATAATTTCATTGTTCTTTATGGCTAGCTAATATCCCATTGTGTATATATACAAAATTTTCTTTAACCATTTATCTGTTGAAGGACACCTAGGCTGGTTCCATAGTTTAGCTCTTGTGAGTTTAACTGGTATAAATATTGACATGAGTGCATCACTGTAGTATGCCAATTTTGAGATCTTTGGATATAAACCAAGCAGTGAGGTAACTGGAACAAACAGTGATTCCTTTCTAAGTTTTGTAAGGAATCTCTTAACTGCTTTCCAGGGTGGTTGCACCAATTTGCAGTCCCATCAGCAATGTATGAGTGTACATTTTTACCCACATCCTTGACAACACTTATTGTTGCTTGTATTCTTAATAATTGCCATTGTAATTTGTGTGAAATGGAATCTCAATGTAGTTTTAATTTTCTTTTTCTAACTGCTAAAGATGTTGAAATTTTTTTTCATAATTTTCACATTTCTGGATTCCAAAATAGGCAACAATTGCCATTCTATGGCATAGAAACTTCCATACTTAGGACCAAAACTCACCCCATAGTAGGTTGTACTTTTTATCTCCAGAAAAATTTGTAATTAAATACATACAGAATTAAAATCAAGCAATTATATTTATTTCTCAGGTAAGATAAATTGTATGCATTGTGGAATTTAATACTTGTTACATTTATAAAGTGATAATCCATAGATTAGAAAATATGATTTACGTTTTCTGATTAATAGATTATTTAAAAAAAAATATACATGAAATGTGTGCATTATAAAGTCATTCAAATGTTTTGGGCTGTGGATGCGGCTCAAGCAGTAGCACACTCGCCTGACATGTATGGAGTGCTGGGTTCAATCCTCAACACCACATAAAAATAAAATAAAGATGTTGTGTCCACCAAAAACTTAAAAAATAAATATGAAAAAATCTTTCTCTCTCTCTCTCTCTCTTAAAAAAATAAAGTCATTCAAATTTTTAAAACTTTAACATGTTAAATTTTAATCCTTATTTCTTCCTTCCTTTTCCCCCCTTCCTCTTAGGAATAAGCACTGTAGGCCCCTTTGTAAGTTTCTGTAGTTTTAATGAAAATCCATTTCTTCATCTTCACATGGTTCTCTCCAGGGCAAAGATTGTTAATTTTCTGCATATTTTTTCCTTCCACAGGAGAAGCCCCGCTTGCCCTTCAATTCAGAAATAGCAAGACAAAAACATCTCATCTGCAGTAGCAGATGAGAAAATTTAATTCTTCTTGTTTTCATAAGTGTACCCAAATCCACCAGCACATACAAAGTTTATTTTTGACTATCCTCTTCTCTAACTTTAACTTCAAATATGAACACAGAATATTTGAACTATTTACATCAAGCAACATTAAACAAATATTATAAAATGACCAATGTTTCAGAAAGAAAAATGCAAATAGAAAATAAGCAAATGATAGTGGAACTGAAAATGTTTGCAACCACTCTGGAAAGACATATGGAAATTCCTCAGAAAACTTGGAATGGAACCACCATTTGACCTAGCTATCCCACTTCTCAGTTTATACCCTGAGCACTTAAAATTAGCATTCTACAGTGATGCAGCCACATGGAGGTTTAGAGCAGCTCAATTCACAATAGCTAAACTATGGAACCAAAATAGATGCCTTTCAACAGATAAATGGATAAGAAAAATGTGGTGTACATACACAAAGAAATATTAGTCAGCGCTAAAGAGAAATAAAATTATGGCTTTTGCTGGTACATGGATGGAACTTGAGACTATCAAGCTAAATGAAATGAGACAGTCCCAAAAAGCCAAAGGCCAAATGTTCTTTCTGATATGTGAATGCTAACCCATAGTAAGGAAGAGTATGGTGGGTAAATGTAGAAGCACTTCAAATTACACAAAGGGGAATGAAAAGAAGGGATGGGAATGAGAATAGGAAATACAGTAGAATGAACAAGACATAACCTTCCTGTGTTCTTTCAAATACATATATATAAAGACCAGTGGAACTTCACATCATGTTCAGCCCCAAGACTGGGATCAAAATTGTAATGGTTGTCCCCAATGTATATATATATATATATATATATATATATATATATAGTGTCCCAATATACGCTACTGTCCTCTATATCTATACAAAAAATAAAAATAAGCACACAAAATAACACTAAATCTCATTTATCATTAGACTGTGCATATTAAGGTGCTACACATTTATTGGATGGTTTGAATATTCCACAAAGGTAATGAAGTGAAAATAAATGTATACTGAAACAATATGTTCACTGTTAATCCAGGTGCCTGAAGATCTTGTGGAAAACAAAAGAAATAATAACATATGCTCAGCTACCATGAGCTCACCCATTCCCTAAGCTAATCTGTGGATTACTGCATAGATGCATGAATACACAGGTTATTCATAAGAAAATAAACCACTTAAATAAAGATATTAGTTTATCACTATAATCCCTTTCTTCATTTATTTAAACACAAGTGCAGGGTCTATGAACAAGTGCAGGGTCTACAATTACTGACCAGAAGCACTTTAAATACAGATTATTCTTTCAACCAGGATTGTTATTATGATAAAAGTAAAATACACCAATTTTATTGTTATGGTTTAAGGCTTTGGAATATTGAAATTTGAAATTAAGGTTAAAAAATATACAGAGAAAGAAAACATCTTATTAGACTTTTAATTTTTACTGCTTCAGATATTTGAAGCAGAATATCTGAATTCAAATGTTTACATGGATAGTTTACATGAGTCTATGATTAAGGAGTTTTTAAAAAACAAATAAAAGAAAAATATTAAAATATTTAAATAAAATATAAATAAAATAATATTTTATTAAATAAAATATTAAAATAATACATGTCAAACAGCAGAGACATCATGGATATTTACATATTTAATTCAGTGATACTGTTTTAAAGACAATGCATTTACAGGATTCAGTATCTAATTTGAATTACAATTGTTGAGTCCCGATGGGTAGGTACTGATTGCTGTTGGAATTGTATTACCTTCACATAATTATGCATAATTTATAATTAAAAGAAAATTTTCTAATATACTGAGTTTTAATGATATTATGGGTTATCACCTTGATGGGCTGTAACTTCTGTTCCATACCTCCTTTACTAGTGATAATTGATAATTTTATTATTTTTTATTAATTTTTATTTTTGTTGATTTAAAATAAATAAATGACAGAATGCATTACAATTCTTATTACACATATAAGCACAATTTTTCATAACTTTCTATATAAAGTATGTTCACACCAATTCATATATTCATATATATATATATATATATATATATATATATATTTATTTATATATATATATATATATTTATATATACACACACACACACACACACACACTTTGGATAATGATGTCCATCACATTCCACCATCATTGCTAACACCCTGCCCTCTCCTTGCCTCTCCCACCCTTCTTCCCTATCTAGAGTTCATCGTTTCCTTCCATGCTCCCTCTCCCTACCCCACTATGAGTCAGTCACCTTATATCAAAGAAAACATTTGGCATTTGTTTTTTGGAGATTA